GGTCCAAACTATTATTTATAAAACTACCATTCCAACTTACCATTAACCACCATAATCATCAATTGCTATTAAGTTTGGAGTCTACTGTATGTCCTATTCAATATCCATTTGAAAGTCAATATTTTAAATTTTAACCTCCCCACTTACTTTTGTAACCTCCAATTTTAAATACAACCACCACCCCCATTCCCTCGAGTGTAACCTTCATTTTTTTAATACATCTACCACCGCCACTTTACTTAGAATTTAAATTAAAACTGCCCTTTTATTTTAAAAGTCCCCAACTCACACGCATAAGTAATGTTTTATTATAATCCCATCTCTCTCTCATGTACAGTCACAGAATTATGGTGTAAATGGAATGGCATGCTATATATATATATATATATACTCATTTTAAATCATAAGTTTGTTTTGATAACTCAAATTAAAAAAAAAAAAAAAACTTCTTGAGCCCCATTTTCTTCCCTAATTCTTTTGCCCATTTCCCATAAACTAAAGTATCTTTAAATCTGAAAATTTATTTGAAGAAGAGGCAAGAAGTACGCTGCATTTTAGATTTATATATTGAACGCGAAAAAAGTATTCAAACTCCAAACATCAAGGTAGGGGTGTTTCGGCACTTATGTAAGTGATGTAAGATTTATATATTTTCATTTGCATTAAATGTGTTATTGTATTGCTCATGATGGAATCATCGTTTGGTGGTTTAAACAAGAGATGAAGAGATGATTATGACAAATGAAATGAGGTTATCAAAACCTAAGAGTAAACGGACTGACTGATCACCAATTCGCTTGAAATTGACGGTGACACAATTAACTAAAGTTTGTATTTCTGAAAATATATATTTTTACCGTTTACTTAAGTGTTTCTTACCGAGTATTATTTATAGTACTCATCCCTACAAATAATTTTACAGGTTAAGATCGAGGCATGACAGTGGTTGGCATAGTGGCAAGTGTTCGGCAATCTCTAATGCTTTCAATTTCTAGTAAATATTTCTATTTATGTAAATATTTTATGAAACTTAGATGAACTTTTAGAAATGTTTTTTTTAATGTTTATTTTGTTCCATTTTTAGACAGTGTACGTTAACAAGAATTTAGAAGTGTTGGATTGATTTGTATGAAGTTTTATTTTATGCTGGATGGAAATTTCAGTTTCTGTCCTTCTAGTTGAAAATAGCATAACTTAAGCTACAGTGCATATTTTAAAGTTAAATTAGTTGAGTTTGAAAGATCCATGAATCTTCTAATAGTAGCCTTTGGAATTTCCTTAAAATATTATCTAGAGAAAAAGTTATGCCCGGTTTAGTAAACTGCGTCGTGTCGAATCCGAGATTCCTGTCCAGCATACTCGAGTAATATTTTTGTACTTCAAACGTTATCGTCGAAACCCCAAATTTTTATATGTGATACATATATGAACGCTTTAGTTCCTGTAAAAATTTCATAAATTTTAATAGACATTTGCTAAGCCAAATATATTTTTTCTTCCGCTATTGTGAAATGGACTCCACATAGCCCTTTGTTTGAGCCTCATTCTTCCCCAAAAATACATTTTTGAATAGTATATTGATAGAAATGTGTGGTTAAAAAGAAAGAAATGAAAACCTCGTGTGAATAGAATGAGTGTGTAGGGAAAATGGATCGAAATTTACCCAATGAAGAGAGGGTCTCTAAGTCTTCATTGAGGGGGCCGTCTTGACCTGCTCTGTCAAAGTATGACACAGCTTGTGAACTCTAGGATTTCTTCTAAAATGGGGACATGAGATTGATTGGGAACTTTCCGAGACCGCTAGCACAGTATCACCTGTTCAACAAATTCTGGTAGGAAAAATTAGCGGTTGGGTCCCACCTATTCAAAATTGAGCAAGCAGAGGTAACGACCGGATCCCTAACCTTTTGATTTTCCTAGTTTTCGAGAAGAAGTGCTACAAGGAAGAAATTTCAGGTTCTGTTTGTCAAATTGGGTGACCCATTATCCACGAAGTCCACCATTTGACATTGAAAACATATATCTTTACAATTAATCTAGTTGTACAAAACAAGTGTTGACAAAATCTTGACCTTGGATTTGAAATGATTTAAACAAATGTTTTTGAAATGATTGGTGTAGATGTTGTTTTGTAAACAAATTTTGTCAACTAATTTTGTACGTGTAACATGACTAATATCTAATTATGGACAGAAAAATTGTCTTCTAATGATGGCCTAGAATTTGAAACTCGATCTATCTTATCTTATTAAGAATTTAGAATTTCCTTTTTTCTTTTAAATTAAGTGTTTGTTTGAGAGAAATTATAGTGAAACGTAGTTGATCTCATTATTGGGTGCACCTACAAGAGAAAAACTAATGACAGGTGTGCAAACGAAGTCAAAGGGACATAATTAAAACCTAAAATAAGAGGACAGAAATTCCCTCAATATAGTACTTGCCACTGTAATTAACAACTTCTTGTGATCACTGTAATTTGAGATTTAGGATTAGCATTCGCATGGGACATTAATATATACAAATAATTGATCCCTGTGAACTGTCTTTGCAGTGATTATTTTTGTTTTATTTATCTCTGTTTTTTTTTATTATGACATTCCAATGACGTTGTTGAAAAGTTGGATTGAGATTCGAAATCCTAAATTGGACGAGTCCAAAATTGATGTGTTATTGTTTGATTATGTGAACTTCCAGAAAGATTGAGCATTGGAATTTGCCTTCATCAAATCGGATCGCACATAAATGTTGAAAATGCCTTCCTTGGATGTGACCGAAACTGGTTATGTAAAATGTTTTTTGCACCGTGAAACTCGAGTTAAATGTTCCATTGGCCATCGACCTCGGCAATTTGTCACGATTTACTAACTGAATTTCAAGAATTGTCTATGTGGTCACTAAACTTAAATCCGTTGCTTTCCGTCACTCGCTGAATGAATTCTATCTTTGACTTTATCTAGGGGGCAGATGGTAAATCTACGTGGATCGTTAAATCACTCCAAATGATGAGTTAATTGCCATGCAATTTGGAATTTAAACACGGACTTCTTCCTCATAATTGAAGAAACTTCGGTTGAAGATGAAAACCGTTCATGTGAAGTGAAATCGAATCCAGACCCAAACCCTAAGGCGAAGTCATCGATTTTACCCTAAAATGTCAACCTGCCCAGGACCATAGGAAGAGTTTGTGATGGTACAAAATTTGCTATTTTGGTGAGTGAATTTGTAAGTTTTACCAAGGAAGACGAAATCATGTACGGACAAGTTTCCAAAAATATATACATTTTGAAAACCACAATCACAATCCATTTGGAGAAATCTTGCAACCAGTGAACAGAAATTTTGATTGAAACTCCAATCTTTTACATTTTTCATTTTTTTGGGGTTTTCTGGGAATTGATAAATATGGCTTGGAGTAATCAGTTAAAGGAGGTGACGAGTTCAAAGCCATTGTTCGTGACGGACTCACAGTATACTCCATTGTGGTAATTGAAATATTGATTTCATCTATTTATGTATTTTCCTCAATTTTTTTCGAGTTCCTGCTCCTTCTCTTCTCCATGGATGTCCACTTCTGCTATACTTGGATTTGTTTTTCTTTAGAGATATGCGAGGAAGAATTTGTGTTTAAATTCTAGATTGAATTGAGAAGGGCATTTTCTGACGTGGAGGTGACATGACAATTAACTTATAATTTGGAGTGATTTAACGGTCCACATAGATTTACCGTTTGCCACCTAGATAGATTTAAAGACGAAATTCATCCAATGAGTGACAGAAAGTAACGGTTTTAAGTTTTGTGGCCACCGAGACAATTCTTGAAGTTGAGTGAGTAAGTCATAACGAAGTACAAAGTTTGATGGTCAATGAAATATTTAACTTGTGAAATTCAAATATCTCATCTCTTAATGTATACACACAATAAATTATGGATTTTTCCTGGTACATTCGTAAGTTTAGCCCCCGTTTGGCTCCCATTATTTTTCATTACATTACATTTCATTTTTTTCTCTTATTTTTAACCACACAATTTTCTATAAAATAATATTATACGTAAATCGAAAATTTGCCTTTCTTTTTCAATCACTCATTTTTTAAAAAAATACTATTCCATCAATTTTCATCTACACAAAATGGGGACCAAACAGGGTATTTGGGGTTTGGATTTAAGTTTTATAGGTAATTATTATTGCATTTTTCGATTAATGTAAATTTATTTTTCCAATTCCATTTTTTCCTTCCCTTCTTTATTTCATTTACTGAAAGAAAAATCACATACAAAAGTGGTCGGTGCACACGCAGTCATCTGTGGTCATGGAAAAAATAATAAAATAATACAATCTATATATTCATTTTTATAATCCACAAAAGGTACTGTTCTATATATTAATATGAAACAACGTTATACATGACTGACACCAACTTTCACACCCTAAGAAAATAGCACGAATATTCATGAACTGCATACAATTATATTACATCATATGTATATGTTTGTCAATAACACGATGAATTTTCCCATTGGTTCCTTCTTTAAGTCTTCTTCGAGATAGACTTAATTAACGCCCACTTCTTACTTAGTCAATATATATTATTAGATTAGAAATTACCCTCCCTGCTGTTCAAAGTTGACGACTTTACAGCGTACGAAATAAGGGGTTTATGTTGTCTTCGGGACATGGCCCAGTGGTGTAAATGATAGGAGTGAGGTTATCTCATGCCTTACTGACAGTCGAGTGTGGGGGTTCGATTCCTGAGATATGGAATTGAACTTCTTGTAAGCGCAGTGTACAGATTGCTTTTGTTCCCTGACCTGTTGGGACACATTCCGCTATTTACCTGCCTCACAAAAATCTAAGAGTGGGACGGTGAGTGCCCTCAAGATTGGGGTTCAACCTTTTTTTCAAATAAGGGGTTTATGTTTATATTATATTATTGATAAATCAATTGTCTATATAACGTATAACTCTTTCAATCTCATGGTGCAACAAAGTCAAATTGCAATGGAAGTTTTAGCTCTTGGCCTTTCTCTAGCTCTAATCGTTTTCCCTCTTTTCCTTGCCTTCCGCAAACGGTCGGAAGGTGGCAACGGTGCAAAACTTCCACCTGGTAGCTTTGGGTGGCCTATAATGGGAGAAACTATCGAATTCTTGTTCGGCAAACCGGAGAAGTTCGTCGGTGACAGAATGAACAAATACTCCCCACACATCTTCAAAACCAAAATACTTGGAGAAAAAACAGCTGTTATTTGCGGCCCTACTGGCCATAAATTTCTATTTTCTAATGAACAAAAATACTTCACTTCCTTCCGCCCCCACCCTATGCAATACCTCTTCCGTTCCTACCAAAACAACACGGCGGCTCAACCTCCACCACCGCGAACTGATGAATTGAAATCGATTCGACAACCGGGGTTCTTTAAACCTGAAGCCTTGATGAGATATTTGGGGAAAATGGATTCCATCACACAACAACAACTACAAATGCATTGGAATGATGACATAAATACAGTTCAAGTTTACCCTCTTGCCAAAAGCATAACCCTAACACTTGCTTGTCAGTTCTTTCTAGGAATCAACAATCCAGAGCGTATTTCGCGGCTTGTAAAACACTTCGACGATGTTACGGTGGGCATGCATTCGATCATGTTGAACATTCCGGGGACGACTTTTTATCGAGCAAATAAAGCGGCTTCCGCGATTAGGAAGGAACTTCTGAATGTTATAAAAGAGAAGAAACTGGCTATGGCTACCGGAGCTCCGGTGCAAGATATATTGTCTCATATGATTGTTGTTACCGACCCGAATGGCCGATCCATGCCCAACGCCGAAATTGCTGACAAAATAATGGGGTTGCTAACTGCAGGATACAGCACAGTTGCTACCACCATAACTTTCTTGATGAAATACGTTGGCCTTAGCCCCGAAATTTACGAAAAAATCCGAGCAGGTAATATTTTGAAGGAAATGAAAACGTTTTCTACTTTTCTTATGTAAGGCTCTTACGTACTGATTTGTAAATGCAGAGCAACTGGAGATTGCAGCCTCTAAGAAGACTGGCGAATTGCTGGAATGGGAAGATGTACAGAAAATGAAATATTCGTGGAACGTAATATGTGAAACAATGAGACTGGTTCCCCCTCTTCAAGGAACTTTTAGAGAAGTCTTGACGGAATTTACCTATAATGGTTACACAGTTCCAAAGGGTTGGAAGGTAAAACAATTTAGGCTTGCAATAGGACTAATTAATGAAATCAAACTTACAAAGATAAATTTGTAATCATTATGAAATGCAGGTTTATTGGACTGTGAGCACGACCAACACAAACCCTGAATATTTCCGGAACCCAGAGAAGTTTGATCCATCGAGATACGACGAAGGTGAAGAAGCACCGGCACCTTATACTTATGTTCCGTTCGGGGGAGGACCGAGAATGTGCCCCGGAAAAGAGTATGCTAGGCTAGCCATATTGGCTTTCGTTCATAATGTGGTAAATAAGTACAGATGGGAAGTGATTGATCCTAATGAGAAGGTTGAAGGCGATATGATGCCGGAGCCGGAAAAGGGACTTCCGATATGGCTGCATCACCACCACTAGGGTGCATGCTTGCTTGTCAAAGTTTAATTAGGTTGCCAAACACACATGATTTGACTTCTTTAAACAATGCAATAAAAAAATAAGCATCTTTTATTGTAGTGCTATGAAAGAAGGAAGAATTTAGTTGGGGTACCCATCGTTGTTGTAACGCTCAAACGTGAAATCCCAGGTGAACTGCTGCTCGTTTGACTATAATCTTTCAAAAATGCTATTTGTCGGGGTCATTTCAACAGACCGTTGCCAAAATATCTCTCATACAATAGGTTCACCCCATTTTTTAATACCCAAAAAAAAATATATCCACCCCACTTTGAATATGAGGAGTCTGGTCAGGGTTTGTACAAATGTTAAGAACCTTGACAAAATAGCATGGCTCATAATCTTTTTAATTTCAAATATACTAGAAAACGTTTATGCATTTTATTTTTTTGACATTTTCATTCTTAATTACATTTTTGATAGCGCAAAATATCATTTTCATAAAATAATGTAAAATCCTATTTAAGTAAAACACAAAGAAAAATAAAGAACTAATTGCAATCATAGTCCCAATTTTTAAAAAATTCAAATGAGTCCCAAAACAAATTACTAAAAATATTGAAAAAAGAAAAAAAAAACCAAAATCTCTTCGTCTTCTCCTTTAAATGCGTTGATCCTGATTCAGGCACAAGGTAAGAGCCTTTCGTATTGGAATGAATGCTATACAACTACAAATGGAGGGAAAGCAGGGAAACTAATGGTTCTTCGAGATTGAACGAAGAATTATTTGTATGACAACAACGAGAAAAATTTCGGTGAGATGGTCGCACTGTCTTACGTGGTGTGACTATCGAATGGAAAGTTACCACCGAATCGAGTGGCCCACCCTCACCCAAAGAGATGAGGCCATTTTGAAACTTGATTTTTTTTCTCTTTCCACGTTAAGTCTCGAGGTGGCCTTAACTTATTGGGTGAGAGTGAGTCACCTAATAAGGTAGTGGCTTCCCGTTCGATGATTGCACCCAGGCGCACCACGTAGGACGGTGCGACCAGACCACCAAAGTTTTTCTCGACAACAAAAGATAGCCGCCATTAATTTCTCCTCGATATTTAAAGCCGTAGATTTCTAACTGATTTTTGACAATTCAACTAAATTAGTGCTGCTCCACAAACTAAGAGGTTTAAGATAAATTTTTAACTTCGTTAAACAAGGGAAATATCCTTGATTTTCTCGACAATCCGCAACAATTTTAACGGTCGTAAAATAGAATCCGCAGAATATCAATTTCATATTTAAAAAATTCAACTAAGAAAAAAATATTGGAAACAAATACTGTGCTACCGTCTTGCACGATTCACTGCTTCATTGCTGAACCCATGTCGTATAATTCATCTGTCAACTTATTGGAGGAGATTTTTTTGTTTTTTTGTTTTTTTTTTAACAATCATACTACTTGTACAATGAATTTGACAACAAATTTGACAATGTTTGAGTTGGCGGGCATAATATCCATTAATTTGAAAAACTATTTTTGAATTCAATTGTTATGATCTTTACACTCTACATATTGTCAAAGTCATTGTAAAAATAGATTAATTCTTTTTTTAAATTTCTATTTTTTCTAATAATTTGTTAAGGGCTCATCTGAACTTTAAAAAAAAAAAAGTATGACATCAACTATTTTCGAAATTTTACATCTGAAAAAGCGATACCCCATTACACTTTCGGATGTAAAATTCAGATGTAAATAGTAAATTTACATGGAGTATGATATTTTTTTTTAAAAAAATCTTTTTTTTATGTAAATTTTCAAATGTAAAATTTCTCCCACAACTTTTTTACAAATTTAATTGTACTCCTAAATCACAATGTATGCATATGAGTGTATCGTTTCCTCTTTTTTTTTTTTTTCCTCTGGCCGCATTAAGGGACACGAACATATTTCATATGTTAAATTAAACGTGACAAACGAAGAAACATCTCACATATTTTATCCCTTAATTTTTAGTCCTTATTAGCAATGTTGTATCCAACGTTAAACATTTCAGTGTGCCATAAGTTCAGAAGTTATTTAACAATGACATTGTCAAAACTCAAAAGAATCAAACAAAATATTAGAGGCCTACCATGATTAGCTTTTGATACAACTCATAAATTTTTATAACAAATCATTGGCGATAAGTGAAACCCATATAGAGTAAAGATTGGCATTGTTAGACTAATGTTTTATTTTTTTATTTTTAAAATTTCACGAATATCAAGTGACGAAGTCCAAAAACAAGGAGATATATTTGTGATGCATATTTGTATGAGTACATACATGAAAACAAATAATTTTTTTATTTTTAATTTTCTTTAACCATGCATGTCCAATAGTGGATTTTGTCATTAAGATTTGGTATAAATAATAAACGTGCCCCCCAGGGCATAGTCCAGTGGTGCAAAGGACAGGAGTCTGGTTATCTCACGCTTTGCTAGCAGTCGTAGTGTAGGGGGTTCGATTCCTGAGACATGGAATTAGACTCTTTATAGGCGCAGTATACAGGCATTTCTTGTTCTCTAACCTGTTGGGACACATTCCACGATTTACTTCTCTCACAAAACTCTAGACGAGGGACTAGACGGGAGCTCTCAAGGTTGGGGTTCAACCTCTTTTTTTTTTTTTTTTTTTTTCAAAGACATGTTTTCTTGTTAAGAAAACAAAAGGCTAAATTTGGCAATGTTTTCTTCACCCAAAAGGAGTTGAATATGAGACAGCAACGGTGGTTAGAATTAGTGAAAGATTACGACTGCACTATCCTGTACCATCCGGGTAAGGCTAATGTAGTTGCTGATGCACTGAGTAGAAAGAATATGAGACAGTTGTCAACACTGTGTACAGGACATGATCATTTAATAAGAGATTTTGAAAACCTGAGAATTGAAGTATTAACTTCACCAGTAAGGACATCGGCAAAGTTAGCAAGTTTTACTATGAAATCGACACTCAGGGACAGAATAGTAGCCGCTCAGAAAGATGATCCCTTTTTGGAAAAGATCAGGGCTGATGTAGGAACTGAGAAGAGGAAGGGATTTGAAATAGCCGAAGACAAAGCCTTGATATTTAAGGGTCGATTTTGCGTGCCAAGGGATGAAGCATTGAGAAATGAAATTATGACCGAGGCTCACTCAACTCCTTACGCTGCCCACCCAGGTGGAACTAAAATGTATCGAGATTTGCGCAATACATTTTGGTGGAGAAATATGAAAGGGAAGATAGCTTTGTTCGTGTCCAAATGCATGGTTTGCCAACAGGTGAAGGCCAAACATCAGAGGCCGTCGGGACTGTTGAACCCCATGGACATACCAGAATGGAAGTGGGAAAAGATTGCAATAGATTTTGTCATTGGATTTCCTAGATCAGTGAAAGATCATGATGCGATCTGGGTAATTGTGGACCGACTTACAAAATCTGCTCATTTCTTGCCAGTTCGGACAACTTACAACTTAGAACAGCTTGCACAAATTTATGTCAGGGAGATTATGCTGCTTCATGGTGTTCCGGCATCTATCGTATTAGATAGAGACCAGAGGTTTACTTTGAAGTTTTAGATAGGTCTTCAGAAAGCTATGGGTACCAAGTTAACATTTAGTACTTCATATCATTCTCAGACTGATAGACAATCTGAACGAACTATACAAGTTCTTGAAGATATGTTGAGAGCTTATGTCCTAGATTTGGGTGGTAAATGGGAAGATTATTTGCCGTTGGTTGAATTCGCATACAACAATAGCTTTCAAGCAACTATTGGCATGGCCCCGTATGAGGCTTTGTATGGTAGACGATGTCGTTCGCCATTATACTGGGATGAAGTTGGTGAAAGGAGAATTTTAGGCCCAGAATTGGTCGAGAAGACTATGGAGGCTATAAATAAAATTAGATCAAGAATTAAGACTGCCCAAGATCGTCAAAAGAGTTATGCTAACAAAAGGAGAAAAGAATTAACTTTCGTGATTGGAGAGAGAAGATATTTCTCAAAGTGGCACCAATGAAGGGAATACTACGATTTGGAAAGAAAGGGAAGCTAAGCCCTAGATTTATCAGTCCATTTGAGATTCTTGAAAAGATTGGGAATGTGGCATATCAATTAGCATTACCACCCGAGCTTTCAACAGTGCACAACGTATTTCACATTTCTATGTTGAGAAAGTACATTCCGGATCCTAATCATGTGATGAATGTTCAATCACTGAATGTCCAGAGTGATATGACTTATGAGGAAGCCCCTGCAATGACTCTGGAGAGAAAGGACTATGTCCTGAGAAATCGAAAAGTCCCACTAGTTAAAGTCCAGTGGAGTAAACATGGTGAGAATGAGGCTACTTGGGAACGAGAAGACGACATTTTAGCCAAGTACCCGGATCTCCTTAAAACAAGTAAGTTAAATTTCGAGGACGAAATTATTTTAAGTGGAGAGAGTTGTAGCGACCGGAAAATAAAGTGTTTTGTTTTGTTTCAAATAAAATTTTCTTATAGGACTCAAATATAATTTGGACTATATTATTATGTCGCTACGACACTTCCTAATAGTCCAAATTAAATTTTGGTCACGAAAGTAAAATTTTGCGTACTTGATTTTCTTAAATTTTACAAGGTGCTAAAATCTCTTTAGACGACAAATTTTATTTGTTACTTTGTTTTGACGACACACATTTTATCGTATATCTATTAAATCTTTGAAATTTAAATTAGAAAAATCTATTGTATAATACATTAACCATCCCAACTTACCTTAATATTTAAACCCCATTTCTTTATTAATAAAAAAAATACAAATAAATAAATAAGAAGAAAACTGCCATTTTGTTTTTAAACTACCATTTGGTTAGTGGGATGATAACCTACACGTCCCTATCCATAT